TATATAACCTTTATATTACTACATACTTTTAAACAGTCTGCTTTTTAAATGTCTTTTTTCCCCTCATCATTGTGTTTACATTCAGCTGAATAAAAACTGAATTACTGTATGGATCGCAGCTCTTTAGGAGTCTGATATCTCCCAGCTGTTTACCAATAAATAGTGTCTGATACATTCAGAGTACTGTTCCTTCACTTCACAGCTTCCTACTGGATGTAAATGCTGCTCTTTAACTGATGATTATGTCTTRTGCTTGACTGCAAAGTGCGCTCTGAGCTCTATTTGTTTCCCTCGGCAGATGATCTGTCTGAGGTGATTGTGTCAGCACGATCATTCTGCAGCCTTGGGGGGTTGAGTTGCACTCGTTGGACCATGACCAGYTGTCGGTCTGAGTCTGACTGTGTGTTGCATGACTCTAATGACATGACTTCATTCTTCCTCCCGGAAAAGAGGAGTCATTTCATCATTTACATTCTTTTAAACACCTATTATTTTGGGTGTTGATGACATTTTTGCCTAATCATGACCCCCGCATGCTACCACTGTGTCACTCATTCACACATCTGTCCCAGTGAAACCTTTAACATCCTCCCTGTGTTGTTGTGTCTTCTTGTCCAGCCACAGAAGACTTTGTGTCTCTGGCGGAGATGGAGGACTCCTTGCTGAGAAACCTCTTCAAAGGTTACCAGAAGTGGGTGCGGCCCATCCAGCACGCCAACGACACCATCACAGTACGCTTTGGACTGAAGATCTCTCAGTTGGTGGACGTGGTGAGCGAGTAAACAAAACAAATAGAGACAGACATTAATAAACCCGAAGACATTTGAGTCAGCAAGGTTTTCCAGACTCGTTCAGCTCTGCTGCTATAAAGAACACTTCAGGAGCTCATTCACTGTWTAAAAGCTTAGTTTTATGTAAAGATGAATGTTATTCTAATGTTACTGGATATTATTTCTGATTGTGATGTTATAATATGAAATTTATTTCATGTCTGCTGCTGCGACACATTGATTTTCCTTAGAKAGAAACAGCACATTCATCTATTCTTCATTTATTTAAATTAAAATACATAACAGGTATTTAAGCGTTTATTCATAAATACTGCAGTGCATTTCTATTTTGCTTTATTTAAATTTTTTGGGCACTCAGCTTTTCCCAGAAAAGGCCAATTGATAAAAAATGTAAGCTTTTATGATAGACCTTGCATCAACAGTCGGTGCACAAAAGCCAAGCAGCTGGTTTGCTTTCTAAAAAAAAACATAAAGGCAGCTAAATTATTTCATGTCACTGTTGGAGTTTAATTAATAAGTTGTTGTAAAAAAGAAACAAGTTCAATTCAGGAGGACAAATTTGAATAATCACTCCTGTGAASATATTTTAAAAGCTTCAGGTTTGCAGTGTGGTCCTTGAGCTTTTTGTTTAATACACAAGAACATTCTTTGTGTTTTTCACCTCTGTGCACAGTCAATAAATATGTCAAGCTTGATATTTCCTTTAGAGCTTTCTCTACCTCTCTGTGGGAATAAATATTGTCTCATAAACTGGAAAGTGGGCAATAAATTTGCACAGTTGAACAATGTGAAGTGGACGTTAACAAAGGAGGACTGAAGGCAGGAAGGTAACTCCTCTTAAGCTCTGACAGCAGGAAATAAAAACACAAGAGGGACTGTTTGAGAAGAGGAGGAAGACCGTCAGGCATTAACTGCATTTAATAAAACAATGCAAAGAGGGGAAAAAGCAGTGAAGCAGAGCTTAAAATGATATTAGAGAGGGCAAAAAGTACTTTGGATGACTCCACAGCAAGTTATAATTATAGTTATAATTTGCAAATAAAAGAGGGGAAAGTAAGAATGCACAGGAATAAATAAAAAAAATAAAAATAAAAAAACACCTAAAGTCGCCTTCTGTAGCACCAAATAAGAGCTAAAGACCACTGAGCTGCACAGACCCAGATTACATTCATTATTCAAGCAAGAACACACACTGCTTCACCAACATCCTCAGAGCTTACCATGTCATATTTATTTTACTTTTAAACAGAAATAACATTTAGGACAGAGCTGTTTTGGTAACTACTCTAGATTTATCTTATTCATGATGAATAAGGATAAAAACATCTTGCAGGTTTAATAAGTGTTTTCATAAAACTCAACATTTTGACTCCAGCCTTCGGTTTGCTCCTCATTAGCCTCTCTGATCTTTTTATTCCCACTTTGTGGATTCATCAACAGGGAACTGAGTTTCTTCATTTATTTATTTATTTTTCTTGCAGGATGAAAAGAACCAGCTGATGACTACAAACGTCTGGCTCTGGCAGGTAAAAACGAGTAACGTTTGAATAAATACTGGAGTTTTGTTTTGCTACGACCTCTACATTTGCAAATCCTTCAATCATGCAAACATTTAGATCTGTTTATTTTTACTTTGTTTCATTTAGCATCACTTTGATTTATGTATGTATGTATGTATGTATGTATGTATGTATGTATGTATGTATGTATGTATGTATGTATGATGACGATGATGATGATGATGATGATGATGATGATGAAGATGATGATGATGATGATAGTACCAGGTTCTGTTGTTTGTAGTGATATACCAATAATCTGCCCAGGAAGTTCTTCTATTTACAGTTTTTATTTGCGTTCACATCCCTGCCTGATGACAGTTTTAGCTTTTATTTGAGACTTGGTCTGAATCTGAGCAGCTTTTTTGTGAAATTAACATTTTTTTTTTAAGGAGTGGACCGATGTGAAGCTGAAGTGGAACCCAGATGACTATGGGGGCATCACCTCCATCAGAGTGCCGTCAGAGACCATTTGGCTGCCTGACATTGTTCTGTATGAAAAGTGAGTCTCACAGGCCTCTGGAGTTACTGAACTCTAACTCAGAATGTACAATCTGTCATTTCAGATTCTTCTTTCTCTGGTACGGGTTTTCGCCTTTCCGGTTCTCCTCCTGTTACATGTTTGTCTTCTCTAAACTCTTCCTCTCACCCCCCCCCCCCCCCCCCCCCCCCCCCCCCCCAGTGCTGATGGTCGATTCGAAGGCTCCTTGATGACTAAAGCGATCGTTCGCTGGGATGGCACCATAACATGGACTCCACCTGCCAGTTATAAGTCCTCCTGCACCATGGACGTCACCTTCTTCCCCTTCGACCGACAGAACTGCTCCATGAAGTTTGGTTCGTGGACTTACGATGGACACATGGTGGACCTGGTCCTGGTGGATCACTACGTGGACCGCAAGGACTTCTTTGACAACGGCGAGTGGGAAATCCTGAACGCCACAGGAGTGAAAGGAAGCAGGAGAGACGGGGTGTACTGGTACCCGTTCATCACCTACTCCTTCATCCTGAAGAGGCTGCCACTGTTCTACACCCTGTTCCTCATCATCCCGTGCCTCGGCCTGTCCTTCCTGACTGTGCTGGTGTTCTATCTGCCGTCGGACGAGGGCGAGAAGCTGTCGCTTTCCACGTCAGTGCTGGTGTCGCTCACAGTGTTCCTGTTGGTCATTGAAGAAATCATCCCGTCATCCTCAAAGGTTTGTAGAATCTGCAGGTTTTGCATAGAAATTTGTTTCAATAGTTTATAAAACCATCACGATGTGAATGCAGGGTTCCTTCCCGTAATCCTAAATTCTTATCTCCTTATTTAATGGAATCATGGCCCAAATTAATTGCTGCTTTAACTTCATGTCAACTCAATTTTGAAGAGTTAATTAGAATTAGACGTCAAATGAAATATTGCTTTTTTCAGTGGTTTATGAGTTATTTTGCTAACGGTACACACAAGCACACAGACAGTCAAAAATGTATTCAAATATTAAAGCTGCAGTGAGCTACAAGCCAATTTGCATGCATTTTTTAATTAAAGAAATGCTAACTTTTTATTCAACTCATTTCTTCTTTTACATAAAAAACATAAATAAACTAATGTTAGATCCTGTAATTTCAATCAACCACTTGTTCCTCGATCCCGATTGAAAACAGACAGGGCAAGCATTTCAAAGCATTTCAGGTTGTAGCTTCTATATTTTGTAACAGATTACTGTAATCTCTAAGAGCTGTGGAGATTAAAAAAAAGATGAACATGTTTGTACGAGTTTTTATGTTATCTTAATGTTTTTATATCATCTGTAAATGTATTTTTAGATGCTTTGTTGTGGTTTATTGTGAAGTTTTATTGTGAAGCACTTGAGGCATACAAATAAAGTTACATATGTACTTACTAATTTTTAGAATAAACAAAATCGAACCTTACAGAAATACTTTTCAGTGTAGAGTATACAATGTTTTACTGTAAAAGACAGTGTAAGTGTTATTTTTCTTCCTTTTTTATACCTCAACAGGTGATCCCACTGATTGGAGAGTACCTCCTCTTCATCATGATCTTTGTCACCTTCTCCATCATYGTCACAGTTTTTGTGATAAACGTCCATCATCGCTCCTCTGCCACCTACCACCCCATGGCCCCCTGGGTAAAGAGCCTGTTTCTTCAGAGACTGCCCAGGCTGCTGTGTATGAGGGGTCACACTGATAGGTAAACACAAAGCGAAGTGCTCTTTATAAGAAAGAAAATAACAGTTGCTGCCACACTTTTAACATGAAGTTGCAGCCAAGACATGCCTTTTCTTTTTCATTCTTCGTTTTAGATAAACAACACTCCTGATTTCAGCAATGTCCTCTTCTCTAAATAAAACTCCAAGTGTCAGCTAGATATATAAATATAYACTGTAACTATGTTTTGTACCTTTATGTTCTGTACCTTTATCCTCAGATACCACTTCCCAGATATTGAGATGAGGAGCCCTGAGCTGAAGCCTCGGCGAGGTCTGGGGAGGAGGGGCGTTCCAGGTGGCCAGCAGAGAGGAGCCCTCRGGGGGACGGAGGACGAGAACCAAGCCTGGCTGGCGATGCTGGAAAAAGCCACWAACTCGGTTCGCTACATCAGCCGCCACATCAAGAAGGAGCAYTTCATACGAGAGGTGCGGGGGCRGGGTGTGTGCGCCAGGGACGGAGCRTGTTGTGACACACTTTACACTCGCAGAATCTCYTCTTTCACTTTTCTCTTCAGCCTCTTCGGAAAATGAAAGGCCTATCATTTCTTGAAGGAATGCAAATCTCCTGCTTCTGTTGTCTTTGAGTTGTAGCTGTTTTGGTCAAACCTTAACAATAACAATAAAGATCATCTCAGGCGATATCTTCTGTAAAGTATTAGCACTTACAGAAAGTGTTCAGAATGACTCTCAGCTTCTATCGCACCAAATTTCAGSTCAGCAGCTGTGCCAGGCTGAAGCTGATTAGCTATTGTGGCCATGTTGAATTGGATTGAGTCCAAAGGTTTTTCACTTTTAGACAYACAACCAGTCACTAACATTCATTCAGTTTAGGAGATATTTTGCCAACAGACAAACAGCGTTGATGCCAACAGTTGATGAATTCATGAGAACAGAGAGCTGCYCAATGCAGAGGTTCCCAAAGTGGAGTATAACCAACTATATAAAGGGCTGTAGTGCAGATAGTCTTATCTCATGGCGCTTACTTTATCTTTGAATTGTATTCAAATTTAACATAAAATGCAGGTAACTAATTTAGATTAGAYTTAAGCACACAYCTAAATTTGCACACTTTATAAAATCACAAGTACTCAAATATTAATTTATGCAAAATCCCATGAGCCTTTGCTGCTCAAGTGTACATCAAATTTTCTGCATGGCCATTGGCTAACAAAAATRRCAAATAGCAAACAAAATAATGTGGGSTGYCACACTGGCTGCTAGCTTAAAAATAAACAAATAAAACAACTTTACTTTAAAGTATTTGTATTTCRTGGATCRCAGCTTTCAGATAAATKTTCATTTTAGCCCTCTCAGGGAAAATGTTTGGGCAGCACTGGCCTTAWGTGTACTGCTCAGRGKATGAAATGGGAACATTGTTGATTTTAGCTGAATATTTTAGTTGAGTATGTTTGTGTTTTCTAGGGTCAGGTGGCTATGAAAGACAATTTTATTTGAGTTTACTCCAAAATGAAATCAGCTGTAGGTGTTAACACAATGAATACTTTCTGAAACGTTCACTGAAAGTTTGTCCGGTGAGTCAATAGATATTTGATCTCTCTCTCTCTCTCTCTCTCTCTCTCTCTCTCTCTCTCTCTCTCTCTCTCACACACACACACACACACACACACATCTGATGTTTATATACCCATGGGGACCGTGGATTGACTTCCATTCATTTTTTTTTTGGAAATTTTATATCCTAACCCTGACCATTTACCCTTAAATTAACCTCACAGGTACCTACCTGACCCTAAAACTAGCATCAACTCAATTCACACATTGGTCCTAAACCAACCCCCCCACCTGTAATTTGCATGGTCCCCACGATGCACATTCGGTCCGAACAAGGCTGTTTTTTCGGGAAAATGGTTGGACAAAGACAACATAATATCTGTCCTCCATTGCCTTTGGCAGCAGGTGACAATAACATGAAATAACGTGTCAGACAGAACTGTATTTGCTGTGAAAAAAGAGCTTGAAGCCTCACATGTACATCTGTCTCTGTGCGTGTGTGTTTCATCAGGTCGTACAGGACTGGAAATTTGTGGCTCAGGTGTTGGACCGGATTTTCTTGTGGGCCTTCCTAACAGTCTCAATCCTGGGAACTATTCTAATCTTCACTCCGGCTCTGCACATGTACCTCAGCACACCGTCATGAAACCATCAACTCATTTATTTATTTTTTTTTTTTTTTGGTCTTTCAGTCTGTGGGATTTATTCACTAAGTTATTCATACTCCACGAAAACAAGCTCAGGCTCCAAACGTCCTTCTCCCACAGTGTGGTTCGTTACCCATAATAACRACTGGGAACTGTAATGTTTTAAATTTGATTAAACTTTCATTCCGAGCTGCATGAACAGGAGTGAGAAGAAGTGAAAGCAATAAGCAGAACGATGTCGAGAACGATTCAAAATGTCATAATTGTATGACTGTAATATTGCAATGGTAATTGCAATAAAATGCACAATATCACCTCATAAAGAATGGTTTTATCTGTCACATGCACTTTGTTGTCAAGCCAGTTGCTAAACTGTATTTTCTGTGTGACGATGGGAATAAAAATAAACCAGAATCAATATTCTGTCTCCGTTGAGACTAATTTGAGGACGACAACTAAAGCAGCAGCGACCCAAAGGCCCCGTCTCTTAATGTCTTCCTGCTTCATCTCCAGTTAGTTTGTGATTAATAATGAGTTTGATTATCATGCCTGCACCACATGAGCACATTAAAACAAACTGGAGGCACTATTCCACTTTTCAAAAAGATGGCACAGAGGTTTGCTTCACATTTAACGTTTATGTTTTAATTATAGACCAATCTATCAGGCTGCAGAACTTCAMGTTTTTTGCATTTGTGTCATTATTTTAATACATAAACATTAATTTGAACATCATTTCAGATGAAGCACACATCCTCTTACAACACTGATACTTGTTAAAAACAACAAAAGTCTGTTAAAAATACCAAAAGCTGTAGTTTCCAAATGAAAATATATAGAGGAAAGATCTAGTTCACACTAATGCAGTTCAAATTCAAATTCAGAAATACTTTATTGATCCCAGGGAAATTAAATGAATAAGAAAATTTATTGAGCATGTTAATAGTTAAACTTTGTGTATTCCTTGTAACCATAGTTTAGCTATTTCTAGATTTCTGATTCAGAATTAGTTTGTTAACTASTGCAGCTCTTTGTATTTCTTGTGTTTTATTTAAATGTAATCAGCTATTCTGCACCAGGCATATATTTATCTTAATGTACATATGAGTTCCTGTTATCGGCAGTTATCTGTGTCTAAAATCATAACATTTAAAATCTGGATTTATTACAAGTCTTTTATTTTTTTAATTAAAGAATTACTATACTCCATGTGTTTTAATCAACCTGCCAAAAAATCTGCCTTTTTTCACTGCAGCATGTAGATGGTAAAAAAATTATCTATTTTATTTCCATTAAATTAAACACTTTTACTGAACTCTTGAGCTTAAAAATACATTTAAAGCAAGCAACAGTCTGGCAGTGGATTTAACTGTAATGTCACAAAATGACCACGGGGTGGCAGTAAATACTTTAATCATAAAAAGACAACACTAAATATTGAAACCTGCGCTTTGACTTTTTTTAAAAATACAGAAGTACTTTTAAATGGTAAATAAACACAGTTTTAAGAAATGTACAAGCACATTTTGATTTGCATTATCCATTTATCCAGATATTATTAGTTGTTTTGTTGTGTTCAGGGATTTGAGATCCACTAAATGATGTGACTAATGGCAGTCCCAGGTGATGCAGTAGCGCTGTGTGCCCTGACCTGGTTTTTTAATGGCAGAATATGTTTCCGAGTGTGTGTGTGTGTGTGTGTGTGTGTGTGTGTGTGTGTGTGTGTGTAGGATGGATTTACAGATGAAAGAATGAAAGGAAAGGTGGAGAGATAAAGAGAAAGAGACGACAAAACTTCTTATTAGATATTGTCTTGATTTCTAGCAAGTTTCACATTTCTAATGTGTGTGTCTGTGTGTGTGTGTCTGTGTGTGTGTGAGGGGGAGGGTACTGTGGTGTGATGTCACAGTGTCCATAAAGCGTTGTGTGTTACTGTACTCAGTAGTTTTGCAGAGGACCTGATAGAAAGCAGCCTTTAGTGTCTGAGCTGGAGTTTTCCTCCAACAGGAAGTGATGTCATCAGGAGGAACCTCCTCTGAGCTTCAATGYTGATTTGTTTGTATTTATTTGACCTTCATTCTTAATTCAAGGATAACTGAAAGAAAGTTGTGGTTCAGCTGTGTGTGCAGTCATGCGGGGGTTAATAAAAGATGATCTTGTTGCCATCAGTGAGTCAGGTGGATCAGCTGCTCCAGGTCACAGCAGCTCTACTTTTAAACATTTCAGTTTATCTGTGAGTCCTGCAGTCAGACTGTGTGAAGTGTGACAGACTCACACTCACCTGTGAGATGAAGGTGATGACCAACATTTAGTAAGCTCCGCCTCTTTCTGCTGCTCCTGAGCTCTGACAGGTGGATGAGTGACAGCAGGTCACAGTCTTCTTCAGCTGCTTCTCGCAGCTGTCGGCTCCTGATGTCAGGTTTCCTGCAGCAAAAACCAAGATGAGCTGCAGCTGAACCTGCAGCTGAACCTGCAGCTGAACCTGAACCTGCAGCTGAACCTGAACCTGCAGCTGAACCTGCAGCTGAACCTGAACCTGCAGCTAAACCTGCAGCTGAACCTGAACCTGCAGCTGAACCTGAACCTGCAGCTGAACCTGCAGCTAAACCTGCAGCTGAACCTGAACCTGAACCTGCAGCTAAACCTGAACCTGCAGCTAAACCTGCAGCTGAACCTGAACCTGCAGCTGAACCTGAACCTGCAGCTGAACCTGCAGCTAAAACTAAACCTGCAGCTAAACCTGAACCTGCAGCTGAACCTGAACCTGCAGCTAAACCTGAACCTGCAGCTAAACCTGCAGCTGAACCTGAACCTGCAGCTGAACCTGCAGCTGAACCTGAACCTGCAGCTAAAACTAAACCTGCAGCTAAACCTGAACCTGCAGCTGAACCTGCAGCTGAACCTGCAGGTAAACCTGCAGCTAAACCTGAACCTGCAGCTGAACCTGAACCTGCAGCTGAACCTGAACCTGCAGCTAAACCTGAACCTGCAGCTGAACCTGCAGCTGAACCTGCAGGTAAACCTGCAGCTAAACCTGAACCTGCAGCTGAACCTGAACCTGAACCTGCAGCTGAACCTGCAGCTAAACCTGCAGCTGAACCTGAACCTGCAGCTGAACCTGAACCTGAACCTGCAGCTGAACCTGAACCTGCAGCTGAACCTGAACCTGAACCTGCAGCTGAACCTGAACCTGCAGCTGAACCTGAACCTGAACCTGCAGCTGAACCTGAACCT